ATTTTAACACCAAAATGACAAAGTGAATTGGAGCCAGAGTTCATGGAGCTGGAAGTGTGCCCATGGTCACTCCCTCATGTCAAATATCACCTCTCTGTAATATGATTAATTACTGGCCCAACTTTTGTGGAACTGGAGTTTTGGATTTTTATTTAGAGTCTCAATATTGTTAGATTAGCAAATTATTTGTTGATAAGATGATTCACTGATGACTCATTCAAACTGGGGACTCCTAATTCTCCTCCAGAAACTAATAATGATGAGTGTTTGGCTGGTTGCTTCAATCCCTTTTTGGCACATAAATCAATACACACAAAAAAGTACAATTTTCAGAAAATAAAAGTCAGAATAAACATAAAAACACACTTGGATCTTAATTATAACATATTTAGCTTCAGTTGTTGTTTTTTCCCCTGGTTCTTACACACCACAGAGCCATTTTAGTTTGTGTGTCCCGCTGCTCTCTGCCTCTTGTGTGAAGAAAAATTGGCCAGTGTTACTTCAGCAAACTGTGAGCCCGCAGGGACTTAAAAACAAATTATTTACAAAGTATAAAACCAAGTTATAATCGCTGTTTTCCTCGCCCAGTGGTTGGGTCTCTGAGGTTTGCCAGTCAAAGTGACAGAGAACAATTCTGGGTTCTGGTTCATTAATCGTCAAATTCCAAACGGATATCAGGCCAGTGAAAGCAGAGAGGGTGTGAGATTTTACAGTTTTGCCAGCTGAATTTTAAAGGTGTCAAAAGTTAGAATGACTTAATTTGGGAGTTGTATCTTGGACAGTGCCTGCATGGTGTTGGATTTTAAAGGTCCTGTATTACACAAAATGGACTCTTAAAAGCTTTTGTTATAATGCTGTTACCTTCAAAAACCTAAACTTGTGCTTTGTTTCATGTACAGATGGCTGAGTAATCCTTTTATTATTAATCTGTCTAAATCTCCAAAACTCAAAATGCTCTGTTCCACCTTGTGATGTCATGAAGCTGTAGTCTTCAAGTTACCTTTTACCTTTAGTTCAGTACAGATTGGCAATTCCAGAGCGGAAATGATCCATATGATTCTAGTGAAGGTGTATGGTTTAAAAACACAGTGTATTTCCACATGACATCATGAGGTGGAACAGAGTGTTTTCTTTTTGAGAGAAGAACTCAGCCTAAATATGCAGGATTTGTGTGTTTATTTATTTATGTATTTATTTATTTATAAGAGAAGCCCCTTGAGATGTAGCATCCTGTTTGCGAGGGGGGTCCTAGTACTTTAACAAAAGCAGCATTTACAGAAGAGAAAGAAAAAAACAAATCAAAACAGAACAAAGACAAACAGACTAAGACAACATTCACACAACACACAGACAGCCTTCATATTATACAATCCAGGATCCTAAGATATCCGTAAATCTCTCTGAATTTTATCATCACCACACCTATATTTGTAAATTAGTGGAAAAAAAGCAACTCTATGTACAACAGAAAGTACATAAAACAAAAATGTATTTTTATCGAAAACAGGAGCAGGAAGTTTTTAATTATCTGAAGACTGATGCCTTAAACTGGTGGATTGATGTAACTGATCGAATTGAGGAGGGTAAGTTGTTCCATTCATTTGGAGCTTTGAAGTTAAATGCTCTGCGGACCAATTTCTTTTTTTTTTTTTATTATTATAGGAACATTAAAAAATAATTGTTCAGTGTGACGTAAATGATATGCTGATCTAAATGGAATCAAAACTCTTTTAAATAGGGTGGGAACTTTGAGTAATAACATTTAAACACAAATTGCAAAAAGTGTAGCTGTCTTCTGGATGTAAGAGAGAGCCAGTTGATGAATACATTTGACAGTGGTGAGTTCTATAGGGACATCTTAATACAAACCTACATATACTATTATAAATGACATCTAACAATTGAAGGTTAGATGCTGAGGTGTTCTTATAAATTATGTCTGCGTAGTCGAGTATTGGTAGAAGTAATTGTGAGGCAATAAACTAAACAATTAATGTTTAGTGTTAAACATGTGAATGAAACAAAACACAAATCCAGGTCTGTTTTTGATGAGGAAAAAACATTAAAACATAGATCAGCAAATGGCGTGATATAAGCCCTTTAAGATTTGAGACTCGTGTGGATGATTAGGCTCGGTGGTCGGCTGGAGTGAGGTGGATACAGAGTGGTGCAGTTCATGTATTAGAAACTATCTTCTGTAGAGCTCTGACAGATTGAGGGCACGCACACTGAGGCTGTAAGAGTAATCACTATCAAATCGAAAACCTCTGTTGTGGCAATTAGAAAATTACAATGGCAGTTTTGGTAAGATAATATTCTGCAGAGAACAAAATACCTCATCTTCATCATGATGTCTAATTGACAATTGATCAAATATGCAAACAATCTCGCTACAAACAAATATGTTCCTAAATCAAGACATTTTTTGTAAAAGTTGGCTACAGCTGTTATATTCTTTATGAATGTGTTTAAAATGTGCACTGTGAACTGATTTACATTTATTAGAACAATTGCAGTTCAATATTTTCCTAGAATACATCCCTAGAAAATAAAAAAAAAACTTGCAATGTTGTTTCCTCAAATCATACTTGGAGTTGTGGTTTGTTTCATTCACACATGTTTAACCCTGCATATTTAGGAATTTTTCTCTCAAACCTTAAACACTTTGTTCCATCTCTTGAAACTCCATACACCTTCACTTTGAACCTAGAATTTACCATCTCTACTGAACAAAAGGTAAAAGGAGCTGAAAAAAACGACCGGCTCATGACATCACAAGATGGAATAGAGCATTTTCAGCTTTTCAGATGTAGACAACCCAATAATAAAGCATTACTCAAACATGTGTGAATGAAACAAAACACAACTCCAGGGATGTTTTTAATGAGGAAAGCTCACAAGAGTCAGTTCTGCTTGATATATGCCTGTTAAAGTTCAGTATTTCATTATTGTAAGTATTATCTGCTTTAGTTAAGTGAGCAGATGGAGCCACAAACTCAATTATTAAGCGCCCTGTCCCGTGGAAGCCCCTGCCCACTCTGCTGCTCACACAAACCCTCATCATTCACGAGTCAGTTCATGTGAAACCACCAGGACCCCATTCTGCGTGAACACACCAAGTGCCTGACTGATTGTTCAACTGCTCTTTAGATATATTTGGCTCTGGCGTCTGCAATGACCAGTGACGTGAAAGCCTCATTTGTAACTTCTCATTGACGTATTCAGTGATGGGGAGAATACTTTAAAAATGTATTTTCTTACAGAATACTGAATACCTGCATTAAAATGTATTTTGTAACTTATTCATTTAGATACAGGGGCTAATTAGAGTACTGTATTCTGAAAACTTAGAATACTTTTACATTGAGTTAGATATAAATTACAGAGTAAAAATCCAACATAGGATTAAAAAAAGCTTTATTTGTTTTGCTGTTCTTAAAGCATTTCCTATCACTAAGCAGAAAAGTTGTGAGATCAGTAGTAGTAGTAGTAGTAGTAGTAGTAGCAGTAGCAGTAGTAGCAGCAGTAGCAGTCAGAGTCCTGCACGGGTCCATTTTTGGAGTCCCACACCCGCCCGTTAACCCGTGATTGAACCCGCACCCGCTTGGACCCGTTAACATTCCACTCGTTACCCGTCCGTGCCCCTGATAAATCGGGGTCAGCCCATTAGTCCGACAGCCCAATATTCCAGAACTAAACCAGGACTGAACCTATGCCGTGTCACTGGTGGATTATAAATATATACACATGCCGCAACCACAGAGTCGATCACCAGGACTACACCAGGACAGGACCAGAACTGAACTAGCACATAATTAGGTCTAAACCCGCACTAAATCAGTGTCATTAGCATAAGTATATACACACCACAACCGCCGAGCCGATCGCCAGGACTACACCAGGACTGGATCAGGACTGAACCAGAACTGGACCAGGTTTAAAACAGGACTAAGCCAGGACTGAACAGGTCTCAACCAGGACTTCACTAGGTCTAAAGCAGGACTAAACTAGAAGCGCGGCGGTTGAGCTGATCACCTCCGCTGATTGTTTTTTATATAATAAATGCACTAAAGTCACCCTCTCAGCCTGATTTGCCATCGTTACTGGAAAAGATCGGGAAATGGCACTTGTTTCCAGGGCAAAGGACATCCTGGATACACGTTACGTATTTTTCTCCTGTTCGTTGTTCATATTATTCACCTGACCTGCCCGTGTGCAATCACTACTCACCCTCATACCTGCCTATAAAATTCCAGAACATTAAAACCCACCCGTTTCAGCAATTATTTGTGGATACCCATTGAGTACCTGCCCCGGTGTAGGACTCTGGTAGCAGTAGCAGCAGTAACAGCAGTAGTAGCAGTAGTAGCAGTAGTAGCAGTAGTAGCAGTAGTAGCAGTAGCAGTAACAGCAGTAGCAGCAGTAGTAGTAGCAGTAACAGCAGTAGCAGTAGTAGCAGTAGTAGTAACAGCAGTAGCAGTAGCAGCAGTAGCAGCAGTAGTAGCAGTAGTAGCAGTAGTAGTAGTAGCAGTAGTAGCAGCAGTAGTAGCAGTAGTAGTAGCAGTAGTAGCAGCAGTAGTAGTAGCAGCAGTAGTAGTAGAAGCAGTAGTAGCAGTAGTAGTAGTAGTAGTAGTAGTAGTAGTAGTAGTAGCAGTAGTAGTAGCAGTAGTAGTAGCAGCAGTAGTAGTAGCAGCAGTAGTAGCAGTAAGCAGCAGTAGCAGTAGCAGTCAGTAGTAGCAGTAGTAGTAGTAGTAGTAGTAGTAGTAGTAGTAGTAGTAGTAGTACCAGTACCAGTACCAGTACCATTTATATTTTTGTACGTACACAAATTAATTCAAAGTGTTTTACAGAATAAAACATTAAAACAAATCAAATCATAAATAATCATAAAATGTACATTCTGAACAACTGTTTTTGATGTATTATATGTATAATCAATGTATTATATGTATTCAGTTACTTCCCAACACTGGACACATTTATCTTTTTTCGCCCAATAGGCTCTGTGTCTGTGATATGGACAGGCTCGGGCGAAATGAATTCATCGGAGAGGTGAGGGTGGCTCTAAAGAAACTGAAGGAGGGAGAGAGCAAGCGCTACAACATGGGCTTGGAGAGAATTGCACAGGTGAGTTCAATACATCACACTCAGAGGAAATAGATTTTTGTCCACGTTACTGCATATAACGAAATGTGTCCAATTCTCGTTGTGGCCGTTCGCCTTCAGGGCAATAAGGAATCAATTTGAACTGTTGTATTATATTATATTGTGCTATGGATAGTCACCTGCAGGCTCTTTAGACAATGCTGTATATATGTGACGTATGTGTCTTTGTGATTGCAGAATAAAGAAAGCAACAATCAAACAGTGGAGCAGGGAGCGGAGGAGGAAGAGGTAACTGTATTTTCAGCTCTCATAAGTGTCATTAACAATCTTGGATAGTAATTTCTGCCAAATGTAAGCCAGTATGGTTTCTGTGATTTTCTGTAATTTACGTACACTAGGTAGCCACTTACCTTTAAACATGTTTGTCTGAAATGAGCGAATCACATTTCCACTTGAGTGAAGCTTATAGGAAAGGTTTGTGCAGATACATGTTGTGTAGTAGTACAACCATAGACTGTATAAAGAAGTGGACTAAGGGAGAGTGAGAGTGGTGTTTACTTTCAGCCAAATGAATCTTATTGAGGCTTGCAGTTATAGGAGCGGAGTTTTATATTTGGAATTACAGCTATGAGTTTCAGCGCAACTAAAGCCAATCTGGAGAGAGGCTGTTGAAGGTAACCCCCCTACTGGTTTCGCAACACTGTCAATCAAACCTGTTGCGAATGCTAGTGGGAGTGACCTCGGGGAAGAAAGACGCCTGGTGGTTTGTTATTAATGTTCATATCTTGATTTACGGACAAAATAGCAAACACCAGGATCATGTAGAGCGGGTTAATACGACCAAAATAAAGAGCCTGACAGCAGCAGCTACGAAGAGAGGGGTAACCGTTTTTCAACAGAAAGTGAATTGCAGCCAAAGTCAATGGAGCTGGAAGCGTGCCCATGCTCACTTCCTACTTAGAACACTGTTAGTAGAAAGTTAGCTCTGTCCATTTGTATATACAGTCCACACAGCAAAAACTGGAGTGTAAAATATTTCAGTTGTTTTGAGCACAAAAAGTGTTATTTTTAACCATTTGAAAGTTAAGTGTGGGTTTGAGTTGGAGTTATTTGCCAGAGTTGATATGATCGAAGTTAATTCAACTTCTACTAGTGTTAATTTGGCACCTCCCACCCATCCCTTCAAACTCCCACCAGAGAAGATCAGTTTGAACCATCTTAAATTGTCTTAAATGAACTAAAATAAAGTGTAAAAATAAAACACCTGTGTGCTGTTTAGCTAAGTCAGGATAACCCTACAAAGTGTTATTCATTTACTCTCAAAATGTTAATGTAATGTTAATATTTGGGGTTAAACAGGAACTTTGGCCCAGTGTTACTTAATTAAAATTTGCAAAAAATGTTAAATTAACTCTGGAACAGATTGTACTCAAATAAACCCTGAGAAAATGTTAAAATTGATTCAGTTTTAACACTCCACTTTTTGCTGTGTATGTTTGCAACAACTGAATGTTCTGAACAGCACATTACTTGTCAAAATGCAAATATTTAGTCCTAGTTTGCAGTAAATATCTGCAAAAAAACAAAAACTTTTCTTCTCCGTCAGCACAAATCCTGCTAAAGTTGCAAAAAGAGCCAATGATATTCTATTATTTAAACATGACTAGCCTGAGGATTAATATTGTATTAAGTTTATGGATTTAAATCAAACAAAAATATGGATTATTTTGAGTTTAAACTTTTGAACGTTGTCCAAAAATGTTATCTTATTCAATTATGCATGAGGGAGATTTTTGTTTAGACGACTGCATAGTCTTTCCTCTTGGGGCGACAACTTTTTATGATCTCCTTGATTTTCAGACCAGTGGGTAATCACATTTTTTTCATGGTCCATAATGCAGCCTTGAGATGAAATCCAACCAAGGCCAGTGTAATTTTGCAAGTCAGAGATAAGGACTTCTTTAATTACTGACTTTCGTTCAGGCACACACAGCACAGCCACACACTCAGAAATCAAAGAGGCTTTATTTGCATGTATTATTTAAGCTGATGCATTTTTCATGGCGGGGACACAAACTGATGGAGGATTCCCACAGTGCGTATTTGTGAGATCAGGACATGTCAGGGTAGAGGCGGGTGCAGGTGGTCTGACGCTTGTTCCTTTGTCTCCAGCGTGGCCGAATCCTGGTCTCTCTCTGCTATAACACGGAGAAAGGCTGCCTGCTGGTGGGGATCATACGCTGTGCCCATCTGGCTGCCATGGACTCCAACGGCTACTCCGACCCTTTTGTCAAAATGTAAGTCACGTCACCAAACCCGACCGGTGACTTATCTGCCTAATTGTACCCAGCTGCACACCACTTTGGGCTTGGCGTCCAAGAAAAATGATGCAATAAAAGGTAATGGTGTTGTGGAGCCGCTGGTTTACAGGACTGAAAGATACCCCAATAACATTTCCTGGGATAGAGCACACGCTTTCAATGTTTACACCTCTCACAAAGTGGCAGGTCTATTAGTAAGAGCCAGGTGTGAAGGAATGCTGTAGGTGCAGAAAAGTAAACATAATACATAGTCATTAGTTTTTTGAGTCTTGTATCTTCTAACAAGGTTTAATCTGCATATGCAACAGTGTTGACTTCTACATAAAAACCTCCAGTGAAAATGTTTTTGACTCGCTTCCCTTTATTCACAATTTAATCTTATATCTATTGCACCATCATTATTATCATTACTTTCTTTATTCTTTATTTTGATTTATTAATTTTGCACTAATATAATAATAATAATAATAATAATAATAATAATAATAATAATAATAATAATAATAATAATAATAATAATAATAATAATAATAATAATAATAATAACACACACTAAATAAAACAGTAGGTGCTGGAAGAGACAAAAAACCCAAAAGGGCTTACATTAAAATCTCCACCTAATGAATACATAAACAATTTTACATTATCGCTGTGCATAAAAAAAAATTAATAAAAAATCACATTTAAACATGATGGATTAAATTTATTTGATTCTACATGGATTAAAACACAATGAAACATCCACAATTGAATGATTATCAAAACATTGCCATGAAATATCACACATTTCCTCTTTTTAAACAATGCCCGTAACTAACCAGATGTGAAAACTGGCTCCAGAATTTACAGCCTCTGTATCATAGGCAAAACTGAGCTCCTGATGTGACACATTTTGGAACATGAAAATTATGATTTTGACAAGTTTTGTATCTATGAATCTCTGCGTTGGTTTTAAAGTAAAATGTGAAATGTCTGGAGATCATTGTTGAATTATAAAGAATTTTATACATAAAAATACAAATTTGATAAATATTAATCTCATAGATATTAAGAATGTTAAGTTTGGTGAATAAATGAGCAGACTCTATCTCTATTAAGCCCTATTTTTACGAGATAAGTAGAACCTGGTCTGGTAATTAGCAAATTACTGCCCCACCTCTGTGCTACTTGCGGCACATTTGCATGGGATAAGCAAATTCCGTAAATTACTCTATTTTACTGAAACTGACTGAGATTGAAAGAGAAAAGAACGCGAAAAGAAAAGACAGAAAAGGCGCGCAATTACAACAACAAACACTGAGATGCAGATTTGCAGGAGACTAGTATTATCACCGGACATCTGTGTTGGTGAAAATATAGTAGGTAATTTGAGGTGGAATTTTTTTTTACGTTAAAATTACAGACATGGCGGATTCGCATGGGATTATGATCTCAGGTATCCTCCTCAATTATTACAAATCACCAAAGGTCCACAGGTAATACTAATCCCATGTGAATAGGGATTTAGTGTCCCAGCTCAAAAACAAATGTGCCAAAATTATAAATGCACCAGTCCTGCTTTTTCAGATCCAGTACCGATTCTGAGGTGCGTTGTGTAATTTTTCTGGTGGAGGGTTCATCAAATCCATGGAAATGTTATTGCTTTGTCTAGAATGTTTCTCATTATGCCTTTCTATCTTCATGGAGACCGATCCAGACCAAGTTACATGTCAGATCTCTGGAGAGGCGACCACGCTCACAGTCAGAATACAAGATTTTCTAGCTGTTTTTGAGCTGTAAAACCACCTGTAACTGTGGAACATTCCAGGCAGAGCGAAGACGTATCCATAGAAACAAGCAGGTGACGGACCCCCAACCAAAATGTTACACAGTGTGCCTTTAAGTATCTGCTAATCCGCAATATCAACTGATACCAGAGCAGAGACTGAAAACAGCATTTATTTCCTTTAAACAAAAATAAAACAAGACAGCGCTGATCCAAATGTGTTATGTAGCTGTTATTTAACCCCAAGTAACTTCAGAACAGCTTTGTATAAATAAAGATTCTAACATTATGAGACATTCTGGACAAACTATGATGTTAATTGTCTTATTACATCAATTTATATGTCCAGCAAGGATATCGCCTGAACCAATATTGAAATCTGATCCAGTTAATTTTTCAGTATTGGTGAAAAATTAGCCTGTCAATATTAAACTAACATTAAAAGTGAGTAAAACCATACCTACCATTTTAATATTTCAATAAGAACCTTGCCCAGAGTATTTGAGAAGCTCTCAAAATCCTCTGTAATTATTTCCATTACAATTTAAAAGTTGCCCCTTTTGCATGTGTTGCACAGTATTTAGTTGTCACTCACCACTCGTTCGTTTTGATGAAGAGGTTTGTTGGGAACTCGAGTGGTTGTGTTCATCAGAGCGAGGCTGCATCCATGGCCTTTACTGTTGACTATAAAAACCCACACAGTTTAATCTTTGATGTGGCCGGTGTGCTTAACCTGCCTCCACCTCAGCAGTGGGAGGACAGACACAAAGCTCCCTGTTTGTTGTTCAAAAGGGTTTTTAAAGTCATAAGTTTTAGCTGTTTACTTTGAGATTTGTACCATTAAGCATGGAACAAGATGCTCCATTAATGTGATAACTACGGGTTTCAGATGACAGCACTATTTAATGTTTTGACATTTTATGGATTCTTTGGAAATGCTGTAATTTGCCTTTGTTTCATGATATGCCCACTCATTTTCTCAGACACATAGTTTTTCCACCAAATACTGAGCTCGGCTGATAGAGTGTTTGTCCTCTGATCTGAAGGTTGGTGGTTTGAATCCTGCTCTCGGCATAAACATCATTGGTAGAACAGTCAGATCCACTGACCCACAGGTGTTTGCGTACACTGTTGTGTGAATGTGCATGTGAATGGGTGAGTGGTTCCTTGAATAAAAGTGTTTTGAGTGCCTTGAAGGTAGAAGTGTTGCTAAATAAAAATATGACTGTTTACCATTTTACCCATAGTTTGCACTACTAGTAAAAACACTAGTTCTACAGTGTTGGGAAGTAGCCAATAATACATATTCAGAATACTAATTTAGAGTATCTATATTCAGTTACAGGTGCAGTTACTTTTTAATTTTTGCAGAATACAGTTATTTTTCTAAAATCAAAGGAATCCATTACAGTACCTGATCATGCAATTTAGGCTTCAAACTGTGCAGAATCATTGAGAAAAATAGACAAATCTGCTCTTGTGGTGAGGTGATTTTTCCATCTCCAGTCAGTGACAAGAAATGCTTTAAAAACAGGATAACAAATATTAAAGCTGTTCTTAATAATATGTTGCATCTTTACTTGTGCTGTCAGTTGATTAAAATATTCAATTGTGATTAATCTTATAAATGTCATAGTTAACTCTTGATTAATTGCATATTAATCAGACATTTTTGTCCCTTGAATAATAATTTTAATACTCTTACCAACATAAAAAAAAAAAGTGGATAGGCTTGCTTTGTGTTTGTCTGCCCCAATCATGCTGTACTAAGGACGATCATGTGGCACTGTTTGTTTACATGTTGCAGCAGCAGCAGAGCTAAAACTTTTAGTGCAGAAAATAAGTCCAGCGGCAGAATCATCTATTATATAGTGAGACAGATATGAGTCATGCTGGGATACACGCTCCTCCGTGAGTTTATGGATATAACAACAGCTTGGAGCAGTGAGGACAGCCAGAAGAAAGCCTGCAAAACTTGTCTCTGTCACAGTCCTTATTGAAGGTAAGTGCAGATTCACCATATGTTTTGGAGCTTTATTTTGTGTTTTCCTCATATGAGTGACATCAGCGCACCTGACAGGGCTACTCAGTTGTTGTTTTCCTTCCTGTTTACAGCCAGATCCTGTAGTTTTTCTAATGTTACTAGCAGTGGCCACAGCTTATGAAAAGACTAGTTCTTGATAAAAATAATTAATTAATTAATTAACGCAGTTAAAAAAAAAAAAGTTTTGCATTAACTTGTTAATAACACGATATTGTTGACAGCACTAGTCTTTACTCTATACATGCAACTCGCTCCTAAGGGTTCAGAATACAATACTCTGATTTGCCCATGTATCAGAATACATTATAAAATACATTTTAAAACAGGTATTCAGTATTCTGTAACTAAATACATTTTCAAGTATTCTTCCCATCAGTGTTGCTTTAGCATGCAATTGTTGGTTTCTGTGTATACCTCTGAATTATGGGATTATGATGAACCTTGTAACAAATAACCTTTGAGAATTTTCCTCTGTGCAGTACTATCCTCTGATTGGTTTACTCTCTACTGCACCTGAATGACAAAGCTGTAGCAGAATTACTGTAACTATCTGTGGAATACAACAGAAACACAAAAACACACATTTCTGAGCTTCTTGGGAGTTCACATAGCAACATAAGGACAAAAAAGTGAGGACTTGAAAGAATAATGTGGCCTTCACTTGATTATAAGTGAGGTACTGTGTAGAGTTTGAAGTGTTGGATGCTGAGAGGAAGTCTGTTGTTTTGAAAAAGAGACGGTATAAACTAAAGACAAGTCTTTCCTCCAAACACACTGAGGCATCCTTTTTCATCTTTCCTCGATATTGATTTGCTCCTCTGGCGCCTGCTCCTTTGTGAGGTACAATGTTTTAGAGAGGATTTCTTAACTTACTTGTAGTGCAGTGCAGTGCCTCGGCTTCTGTAACTTCTGTTCATCTTTTCTTGTAACAGACTCTGCCGCATTTTTAAAACAGCCTGAGGCACTTGAATCGCCTTAAAAGACACTGCACAACATATGCAAATGAATCAGTACAAGGGCCCTAATTTGTTCCTGTCTATCTCAGTCTGACGAGCACAACACAGAAAATCTAATCACCTATTCAAAACCATCTCCTCCTGCGCCCCATTCTCTCAGATGGATTCGTCTTTGAGGGAAGTACAGGCAATGAAGTAAATTATTAAGAGC